GATGTGGTGACGGGTATGATTCTTTTCCTCGGATTTATGTATATGATGTTTGTGATATTGATATGTACTTTGTTTAGGATCGTTCCATGTGAACGACATCCCAATTCAGGTATTGTTTGATTCGGGTGCTACCCGATCATTTGTATCTCTTGCGCTTAGCAAGAAGTTTTCTGAGTCTTCGAGCATGTTAGATTGCCCTCTAGAGGTCAAGATTGCGGACGACCGGTCATGCCGAGCATCTGAGGTCTTCCGAGATTGTGTGCTGAGGTTATTTGAGGAGCGCTACTTGGTAGACTTGATTCCCATTCCATTGCGTGGGAACAAGGTGATTATAGGCATGGATTGGCTCAACCCTAATGGGGCAGTGATCGACTGCGCGCAGCAGTTGGTGTGGGTCAGGACCCCAAGTGGGGGAGAGCTGGTGATTCAGGGCGAGAGGCCACAGCAACGACCAACTTTATGTTCAGCAGTGAGAGCTAGGCGTTACCTCCAGAAGGGTTGCGCAGGTTATGTCGCGTATGTTATGGATACCCGGGAGACAGGTAGGGCGACAGTGGATGATGTACCTGTGGTACGAGAGTTTGCGGACGTATTCCCCGAGGAGTTGCCTAGGATACCTCCTGAGCGACAAGTGGAGTTGAGGATCGACCTAGTCCCTGGTGCGGCTCCGATAGCCAAGGCACTATATCGGTTGGCTCCTCCTGAGATGCAGGAGTTGTCTACACAGGTGCAGGAGCTGTTGGACAAGGGTTTCATTAGATCGAGCAGTTCACCCTGGGGAGCCCCGATTCTGTTTGTGAGGAAGAAGGATGGGTCGCATCGGATGTGTATAGATTATCGGGAGCTGAACAAGGTAACGGCGAAGAACCGTTACCCACTCCCGAGGATTGATGATCTCTTTGACCAGTTGTAGGGAGCATCTTGGTTCTCCAAGATTGAGTCGAGATAACGTTGAACACCCTGAACCAGCAAAAGGGAAACGACCTTACACTAACCACTAATGATTCATGGTGTGCAATTGGCATATGACATTTCTTGAAAATATAATACAAACACAAGCAAAGAAATAAACCGAATATATGCTTACCTAAACTGATGCAATATTCTAACAACCATAAACACGAATATAAATAACCGGAAAGAAGGCAAAAGATACATACCTGCAGAACTCAACTCCTCTTTGCTGGGGCTCCTGCCCTACCTTCTTGTCCATTGGTGATCCTCAAAGAAGCCGGATCAGACGTGCTCTTTGCTCCTCCCATCAACGTCGGACAGTCGGCCTTCATGTGGCCCACCCGGTAGCAGTGAAAGCATAACATACTTACTCACTGAGGACAATCCTTGCTGACGTGGCCAACCCGGCCATACTTATAGCAGCCTAAACCCCTAGAATGACAAGCCCCATCGATTACTTATTATCTTTATTGATGATATCTTGGTGTATTCCAAGACTAAAAAGTAACACGAGGAGCACCTTCGAGAGCTTTTGGGGGTGTTGAGGCGAGAACGGTTGTATGCCAAGTTCTCGAAGTGTCAGTTTTGGTTACGAAAAGTCCAGTTCCTAGGACATCTCGTTAACCAAAACAACATTTTGTTCGATGCATCCAAGATTGATGCCGTAATGCAGTGGGAGGTTCCGAAATCTCCCTCAGAGATAAGGAGTTTCTTGGGTTTGGCGAGATATTATCAGAGATTCATCCAGGATTTCTCCAAGATTGTTGTACCCCTCACTCGTCTGACGAGGAAGGGAGTGGATTTCCAATGGGGCCCTAAGCAGCAGACAACATTTGAGACACTCCGACAGAGGTTATGTGAGACCCCGGTATTGACCCTTCTGGAGGGCGTCGAGGATTTCGTTGTATTTTGTGATGTATCCATCATTGATTTGGGGGCGGTTCTTATGCAAAGAGGGCGATTGATCGCATATGTTTCATGGCAGTTGAAGCCTCATGAGGCACGATATCCTACTCATAACCTGGAGTTGGGGGTAATGATATTTGCTCTCAAGATTTGGAGATATTATCTATATGGGGTCCGTTGTACCGTTTACACGAATCACAAGAGTTTGTGATATCTTATAGACCAGCCGAACCTGAACATGAGGTAACATAGGTGGCTGGAAATGGTCAAGGATTATGACTAAGAGATCCTTTACCATTGCTAATTGATTCATTTGAGTGAACAAATATTTGTCCGGCCTATGTAATTCAACAAAGATGAGGGGCTGATCCTGCAAAAATGTAAATCGCTTCCAAGGTTCGTAAGACGGACGCCTTGTAACTTATTAACCCTGGGAAGCGTCAACCGATTGGATTATCCAAACTCCCCCAAATCGTCATCACTTTCCATTGCCCTAAAATATCCCTTTTCTGCAGAATCAACCTAATTAGGGCTGAGAATAAACGCTTGAAAGTATTCCAATTCATACCTCATGGGTCGTATATCGATCGAGTCCGCGAAGACGGTGTTGGAGGTGGCTGAAGTTGCTTTTAAAGCGGTCGAGTTCTCCCACCACCATCCCCTCCACCTCAAGACTGAACATCAAGAAAAATCCGGCGACAAGAACGAAAATAAGCAACCTTTGGAAGTAAAAGAAAAGGAATTGGAGGCTTTGAGATCGGAGAATCAACGTCTTAGGGATTTACTCGAACAGAATCTCAAACTCCTTCAGAACATATCCGAATCGCCTTGCTTACTGGAAGATTGTCCTCCTGATGTATGTGATTTATTACCGTATACGCTATTTAGATCATGCATATCACACGCACACATACATAGATGCAAATTGATTGTTTTTTCTTCGTTCGGAGCCACAAATAGTGTTATAGATTATTGGTGATTTTTTCTTAAACTATGATGAGTTGTGATCTCAAAGTGCTTACTAAGATTACTGGATTTTCCCCCCCCAAATTAAGCCCTTCAATACCTTTTGAGATCAAACCGAGCTAGTTTAAACTTCAAAATTGATATTTATTTTCAAAGTTTTAGAGAAATTATAGTAACCACATTAACATTTACACGATCATTGCACAAACTTATAACTAATTCAACTGCAGCTACATTCTCGTATTATAAATACTGTGGAATCTCCAAAGTTCTTGAGTCAACTAAACACCCTCCATAACAACACAGTCGATGGGATACCCTGCAAGTTTTCTCTCGAAGACACCACAGGTTATTTCCCCCCTCCCTCTTCATGTTTCAACAATTCCTTTCAACCTGATTACATTTTGTGGATTAACTTTTGACAGAATTGGGTGTTCAACTAGATGAGATTCTAATAAACGTTGGCTCTGAAGAACCAAGTTTATGGATTTGGGTCACTGAAGAAATGGTACATGGTAAACTTGAAGAGAAAAGTGGAATCGATAATGAGAATTATGTAGTTATTAGCCATGAACAGGTGGTGGATGGCATTGCCAACTTTATGGCTAAATGTATTCTTTTAAACCCAAAAGCCAAGGTATAAAACTATAACACTATAAATTATTAAACATCCAAACACTTTTTTCTTTTTCTTACATAAAAGTTTCAATACATAACCAATCTCACACCTTCTCAATCTTTTCTTGAAATGCAGAGTTTGACACCTGAGGAGATGCAAAAGAGTAAGTTTTCATTTTATTTTTTATTTTAAAAAAAAAAAAAACTGAAATTTATGAAACTTGCAGAGTTGAGCAAGGCATTGGGTGGGATGAGCAAGTTTGAGAAGGTAATGGAAATATGGCATGCTGGTCAGCTGTTTTATTTGATGGCAACTTGGGGACTTGCTCTTGCAGGGTGGGTAGTTTGGTAATTTCATAAATACTTTTTATAAACAAATTTTTATTTGTTTATTTATTTTGTTTGATGTTGTGAACAGGTTGTATCAGAGTAGAGCAGTGTTAAGAATTGCTGCAAGGGGAGTTCATGCAACAAGCAAAGTTGCTATGAGGGCTCTTTAAGTTGTGAAGTTGTGGATTTCTCTTTGACATGAAAAGTGTAAATAATGTAAAAAGGAAAAAAATTACTGTTTTTATGCAATTTAAAGAATTGTTCATCAGTTTGTTTTTTTTTTTTTTTTTGTAAGGCTTGATTGCTTAACTTCAAGAATGGCATTGTAAATATATGATTGGGTTGTGTTTTGTGCCTCGTTTCACTTTTTGGTTTTTGAATATTTTTCACACGTGTGACCATAACCATTTAATTATGTCTTAATGGGTTGAGAGAAAAATCGATGCATTATGGATTCAGATGCATTTCTTTACCTTTCCTCTCTCTCTCTCTCTATTGTGTATTTATTCCAAACACATTTTATCTAACACCTAATCTACTTCAGATCGGAAAAATTGCATCCTGGTGAAAAAAAAGACCATTTATTTTGCAACCAAAATTAGTTTTTCGACAAACTTGGTGGGCTTTTTAAAATTCTACTATAAATATTCTTAACGTTCACAAGGTAAAGTTCTCTACTATAAATCACATCGAGAGTCTTGATACAAATCAATTGCCAATAAGAAGCAATGTTTTCATTTGTTTTCTTTTCTCTGGTTCTATATAAACCTACCATTTTTTATTCAAATGTTTTGGATGCAATGTACCTAAAAACAAATGACAGGTGAAGAAACCAAAGACATGCACGTGTAAATTATAGCGTGCTGATGAAGGAACTTACTTAGGGAAGGTTAGATTCCACAGCAAGAAATCTCCTTTCATTTGTGTACGTAGTATTTAAATCAAATGAGAATGTTAGTTTGGAACAAAGTGTTGCTTTTTTTTTTTGGAAAGTAGATTATTATATATTTCTCTCATTGACTAGAGGTCAACTTGGTATCTTCTTTACTTAATAGCAACATTCTACTTTTGATTTCTTTATGCATTTATGTCGTACGATATGATCTTTTTCTGATTTATATATATATCTTTAGCGCTTTTGAAACTTGAAGGCTTAATCTGGTGCCATTTCTAGTAAGCAAGAAATTAAGTGAGTTTTAATTTCTCCATCGGAAAGTGATATGGCAACTTCTAGTAGCTTTAATAAGCCCAAAACAAAGGGAAAGGAGTTGACTGATGAGGTGTTTTCTTGGTCATTTGATGCTGTTCTCAACGAAGATCATTACAAGGGAAAGGTTAGTAATTGAGTCATGTGTGATATGCATCATCAAAATTACAATTTTGATGATGATCAAATTACAATTTTTCTTTCACTAAGCCAAAAAGGTAATTGTAATAGTGTAAAATTTATTAATAGGTAAACAAAATCGAAGAAAGATTTTCATCAACAAGTGATTACGCCAAGTCGTTCATCAAGCCACTACTTGAGGAAACACGTCATGCTTTGATGTCCAAAATGAGAACAATCTCTAGTGCCACTACTCGTGGGATCATCAACATGTCAAGATTCCCTAACATATATTTGGAAAGTAAGGGCAAAAGTGGAAAAGGGTGTTATGAGCCCGAGGTGGGAGATCTCATAGCTGTGACAAATGGAAAACCAAGATGTATTGGTGATATCAATCAATCAAATGGAAGTCCCTATGTCATTGCTTTGGTTCAAAGGGTCTTCAAGGATGATGTGATCCAAGTAAGATCCAAAAAACCCATTGTTTTTAATCGGAAAGAATCTATCAATAGAGGGAAACCCATGTTGTTTGTGGTTCATCTTGTGAATTTGACACCTAATATCCATATATGGCAAGCTTTGCACTCTAAATTGGATGGGAAGAACATAAAAATCATCAATAAAGTACTCCAAAGTGACTCAAAGGTGATAAACTTCTTTTTGAGAATTTGAAAACATATAGTATATGCTTCAAAGGATATGAAATATACTTAAATGCTATTTATTTATCAATATATCTTATTTGATTGAAGTACTTTTGTATATTCATCGATCTGGTTGCATTTAGTTTTTTACTATATTTGTACATAACAATCAACATGTTTGTTCATTTCATACTTTCAAGCCAACCAAATATGATAATAGAATATAATGATTTATTACATTACCTTTCTCATTACATTACATTGTTATGATTACATTCCATCATATCAAACAAACCATAAGATCATGGAGTGATTATTTCAGGGTAACAAAGAATGTTCGCTATGCTCCATTCAAGATTCAAAGAAATCTGCTTCACTAAACTTACAACACACCATGAACACTTTCAGTCTGAATCAATCTCAGAAAAAGGCGATATGGAGTTGCATTGTTGCAAGAGAATGCCATCATCAAGAAACTGTGAAACTAATATGGGGTCCACCAGGAACAGGTAAAACAAAAACAGTTGGCTGTCTTCTATTCGCTCTATTCAAAATGAAATGTTGCACATTGACATGCGCACCTACCAATAACGCGGTGTTAGAGGTTGCATCACGTTTTATGAGTCTTGTAAAAGGTTCATTAGAGTATGATACTTATGGATTTGGAGACATAGTTTTATTCGGGAAAGGTGAGAGAATGAAAATCGATGGTTTTCCAGAACTCTATCAAGTGTTTCTTGATAATCGAGTATCTATTCTTGTTCGTTGTTTGTCTCCCACGTTCGGATGGAGAAGCAAGGCAAATTCGATTATAGAATTACTAAAATACCATCAAGATGAATACAAATTGTACTTGTGTGATAAAAGAAAGGTGGATGATGAAGCTAGCGATGATGACGAGTGGGAGATTTGCGAGAATGATGGTTTAAAAGACGTACATGGGAAGGTGATAATTTACGAAAAAGTGCTTAAAATCAAGGAAAAGTTATCTTTTGAGGATTAAATCAAAGAAAAATTCAACATTCTTGAAGAAAAACTGACAACTATGTTTAAAAGCATGTACACACATATGCCAACTTCTTGTATAACATTACAACTAACAAAGAAAATGATGAGAGTTATCACCTTGTTAAGAAATACCCTCCAAGGGGTTGAAATTTCTGAAGAAAACATGGAACCTATGAATGAGTTGGTAGTGATGAAAAAGGAGCTCTTTCAAGTTCTTGATCAAGTCCTTCGTGAAACCGTTTCTTTCCCTAATGATCAAGAAATCGGAAACTTTTGTTTGGAAAATGCATGTTTGATCTTTTGCACAGCTTCGAGCTCGATTAGATTGCATGCTCTTGAGACAAATGTGGAATTATTGGTAGTTGATGAAGCTGCTCAACTGAAAGAATGTGAATCTTTTATCCCTTTGCAACTTTCGGGTCTTCGTGATGTTATACTCATTGGGGATGAGATGCAACTACCTGCAATAGTTGGGAGTCCGGTATTCATTCTTTCCATCTTTTTTTGTAGGGTTATATGCAAGAAATAACAAGTTAATAAAAGTACATTGTTAGCATTTAACTCTTTTCATTTGGGCTAAATACAAGAAATAGCAACATTAGTTATTTATTGTAGTGTCTAACTTTCATTTGTGTTGTTATAGCTTATACCTTGTACTTTAAATCTTTTTCATTTATGAAGACATTACACTTTGAAAGATCTATGCAATTATAGTATTGTAGGTTAAAATATCTATTCAACTATAGCAATGTAAAGTGATTTATATTTGGATAACATTGCTATAACCGAATAGGCATTTCAAAGTACCATGTTGTAACATAAAGAAATGAAAGTAGGATGTAGTAATAAACAAATAAATGAATACACCTTGCTATATCTTTCATTTAAGTTTAACCCCTTTTATTTTGCTATCGAGTTTTGCACCATTTGATTAACTGAAACTATACTTGTGTGGATTAATTGGTGTAGATATGTAGGGAAACGAAGTTTGGAAGGAGCTTATTTGAAAGATTGGTGTCACTAAAACATCCGACACTCCTACTTGATGTCCAATACAGAATGCATCCTGAAATAAGCCTCTTTCCTAACCAAGAATTCTATGGAAACAAGATTAAAAATGGCCCAAACGTATATATACCAAATTACAAAAAGCAGTTTCTTAAAGGAGACATGTTTGGACCATACTCCTTCATTCATTTAACCCAAGGGAAAGTCGAATTCGATAAAACCAACAGTGGAAAAAACATGGAGGAAGTAGCTGTGGTTGTTGAATTGATTACAAAGCTTCATGAAGGTAACATCTTCTTACTTCTATTTCCTTTAGACTACTTCAAGTCTTGATCATTTTTATCGACTTATATTCACAGAAAGTGTCACGAAAAACAGAAAGATTAGCGTGGGTTGCGTAACACCATACACGGCTCAAGTTTCTGCAATACAAAGTAAACTTTCAGACATTTATCAAGTCATAAAAGCGGGAAAACATGAGTTTTCTTTGAATGTTAAAACTGTTGATGGGTTTCAAGGGTGTGAAGAGGATGTGATAATCATTTCAACTGTAACTGGAATTTCGAGTGGATCTATTGGTTTTCTAGCTAGATCTCAAAGAGCAAATGTGGCTCTAACACGAGCAAGGTTTATATACAATAAACTTTACAAAAAAAAAAGTTGAAATATATATATATATATATATATATATATATATATATATATATATATATATATATATATATATATATATATATATATATATATATATATATATATATATATATATATATGTATGAAGAAATGACTTAATCTGTTAATTTGTTAAGGCATTGTTTGTGGATATTGGGAAATGGAGATACGTTGAGGAATAGCAGCAACACATGGAGGCGATTAGTCAACAACGCCAAGGCTCGAGGTTTTTTTTATGTTGGTAATGAAGACGAGAGTTTGGCTAATGTGATCAAACAAAGGTACGTGTTTTTTTTTTTTTCCATTTTTGGTCCCTGAGTATTGCTAATATATTCAGTTTTGGTTCGAAAATGTTTTCTCTTGCAATTTCGGTCTTCATTTGGGGTTCTTGTAATGTTTTTTTTGTGCTTGTTTCAAGTAAAAAGACTATTTTTGTGAACAAAAGACTTTTTGTTATGCGATAGATGATTTTTTCAAATTTTGTCGAAAAGTATAATCGTTTTATTGGAACATGGATGAAAAATGTTATATAAACATCAAATAGGATCAAATTTGTAATTGAAAACTTTTTGGGATAAATATTCAAAAAAATTAGCTTTATTTGGGACCAAAAATGTCATTTACTTTATGCTTTTTGTTGGGTGTAAGGTAAACGTCTTAAAGTTAGAATTTTATATTTTTGTTTTTTGTTTTTGTTTATATAATTTTGAAAGGAATTTAGAGGTTTCAAAGATGTGGTCAAAGGGTGATGAGAATGGATTCTTATCAAATGGAATTTCAGCAATGAGTTTGAGAGAAGAAGCAAGCTCATCATCATCACCATCATCTGGATTATGTTTGGTAAGTATTTAATTTTTTTAATTTGATGTTCGAAGGGAAAAGTCATTTTGAATAATTAACTTGGTGACTTTCTTTATGCAGGAGGGACATAAAGCTCAGCAAAAGCACACAAAATTTTAGTGTTTTTTTTTTTTTTCAATAATATCATATTTTTTTGTAAGTATTATATTAAACCAAACTATGTTATGGCCATTCACAATATACCGAGTTTAATAAAAGGAAATTTTATACATACCTTCAAATTGCTTTGTGTACCCTTTAGGATTAAAATAGTATATTTACCTTCATGATTTGATAATTTATATGAACATGACCCAACATGAAAACACACACACATATATATATATATATATATATATATATATATATATATATATATATATATATATATATATATATATATATATATATATATATATATATATAAAACAAAACCAATTTTTTTCCAACATTTAAACACAAAAATTACCGTTTTTACACATAAAAAAACCAATTAAACACCAAAAATACTTAGAAGAAGAATTACAACTCAACCCGATATCCTTTAAGGTATTTAAATTCATGAGTTACTGACTTCGAATCAATATTTTCAGCAATTTCCCTTTCTATGTAAACCACCAAATTGTTTGCGAGAAAGTCATCCGACAGCTTATTGCGAATGCGGTTCTTGAATATTTTCATTGCAGAAAATCCCTTCTCTATTGTTGTGGTAGAAACTGGAAGTGTCAAGATTAATCGAACCACTCTATCAAACAAATAATACGTCTCATGTTTCTGAGTTTCCACAAAACTAATTTTTTTTTTCCAACATTTAAACACAAAAATGCCAAAAATTACCGTTTTTACACATAAAAAAACCAAAATTTTCAGCAATTAAACACCAAAAATACTTAGAAGAAGAATTACAAATCAGCCCGACATCCTTTAAGGTCTTTAAATTCATGAGAGACTGACTTCAAATCAATGTTTTCAGCAATTTCCCTTTCTAGTAAACCACCAAATTGTTTGCGAGAAAGTCATCTGACATCTTATTGCGAAGGCGGTTCTTGAATATTTTTATTGCAGAAAACCCCCTCTTTATTGTTGCGGTAGAAACTGGAAGTGTCAAGATTAACCGAACCACTCTATCAAGCAAATAATACGTCTTATGTTTCTGAATTTCCACAATACATAGGGCAACAATATATAATTGATACACCACTTAGCCTGAGATTCTTTGTCATATCGGTATTAAAAATCTCTAACTAATATCGTAATTGATTTCTCTATTGCTCCGTAAAATGTCCAGGATAATACTTCTCAACAAGAAGACAAATCAGATCAATGTTAATCACTTTAGGGTGTTCTTTTGAAACTAAAGTAGAACTAAGACATAACAACTCCATCATCTGATCATTATATCTGCTATTCAACTCATGTAACCGTTTGTCCAATGTGGATGTAAACAAATCTACTCGATAAAAATGTTCAAAAGTAACATGATTATCTGTTTTTGAGGCTGGTATTGAGTAGAAGTATATGGAGCATTCATATCTGGCATATCTATTTGATGTTTCTCACAAAAAAATTGTACCTGTGCAAGTAAAGAATCTCATCCTTTGTTTCTGAAATCATTCAGACCCTCCTTTGTTGTTGAAACTAACTCCATGACATTAAGAATATCTTGGGATTTCTTTTGTAGATCTTGAGAAAGTCTATCAGTTTTTCCTATTAGTTCCTTCATCAAGTGAAGAATAAACAGAAACGCAAATGATTTCAGGAAACACTAAGTTGTATCATCATCTTCGCGTTGAGAATAAGTAGTAGATCAGTCATCAATTAGTCCTTGGAACACAACACGAGTATTATCAAACATGTTAAGCAAACTACAAACAGAACGAAGATAAGAACCCTAATGTGTATCATCAGCTCTTCTTAATGTCCCAACTTGATTCAATCCTTTTCCTGATTCAATTTCACCACGTTCCAATAAATGTTCAATCTCAGTTGCCTTTTGTAACTCATGATGACGCTTACTTGAAGCACAAACCATATTAATTGTAAAAATTAAGTTTGAAAAAAAATTGGTGTACATGAATAATTTCTCTTGAAGCAGCTACCAATGCTAGTTGTAATCTGTGAGCAAAGCAGTGAACATAATACGCATAAGGACAATCCTCAAGAACAAAAGCCTGTAATGTGTTCCATTCTCCTCTCATATTACTAGCACCATCATACCCTTGGCCACATATTTTACTAGCATCAAACTAATTGTGTAAAAGTTGTCTCCACATATTTGTTTTCAATGTTAATGATAAGGTATCCCTGACACGAACGAAATGTAAGAACCTTTCTCGTATGATCCATTCTGCATCAAAAAATCTCAAAACTATAGCCATTTGCTCCTTTTTAGACTCATCCTGTGACTCATCAACCATGACACAAAAGTATGAATTCCCCACTTCACTACGAATATGCTTTCGAACTTTATTTTCAATAATACTAAGATTCTTTTTTTGAATTTCTCCATAAGTATACTTTGAATTATAAGGAGCTTTCCCTAATATAACATTTGCAACTTCATCATTATAAGATGCTAGAAGTTTTAGTAGTTGGAGAAATTATCATGATTTTTGGAATTAGGACTTTCATCCTTTCCTCGTAAAGCACAAGTTTGGAATGCCAACCAACAAACTGTGTCAATCGAAGCTTTTAATCGTAAACAGTTCTTCAATATTTGTGCTTTATTTTGCTTCACTATGATATTTTCAATGTATGCTTCTTGGTTCATCAAGTTTTCAGCAAATGCAATTGCATTTCTATGTTGTGAACAACCAATGTGCTTCAAGAATGCACAATTTTTCCTGTCATTAACTTTTTCCAATTGTCAAATCCTTTAACAGTAAATGCATCGTAACCATGACACACACTTGGTTTATCATTAAAAGGTCATAAAGTCATATAAGCGTGTCTTACTTCTTCTCTTAAATTAACTGGATAATCTCACATTTGTTTTCGTTTAGCAAGATCTCTTTCTAGTTACTTAAGATCCACCTCATTAGGATTTGATTTTGTGGTTTCAAAAATATCATTCTCTTATTGTTGATTTCCATGTTATGCGATTGTGGCTCACTTGTTGAAGCTTTTTGATGTTTACTCTCTTGATTTTCATTAAGTGCTTCTTCATCATTACCTATTCTTTTGAAAAAAGAATGAATGTTTTTCATCTTGCCCATGATTGTATCTATAAAAAATCAAAATGGATGAAAAATTCATTCAAAATCAGCTAACCAACTTCAATTTCTGCACAAAGAAAAAAAAAAATTAACAGTGTGTGAAATCCTAATTACTTGATTCCCAAATTCAAACAACAAGAAAATGGAGGAACAAATTCATATTAATCATCAATCTCAGCTCATTCTAGACAAACAACAAGCAGTTGGAGGAACAATAGTGTGTGAAATCATTTAACTGTGTGAAATTCCAACAACAAGCAATTAAATAAATTGAGAAAAGATGGAATTTAGAAATACAAAATTAGAATTTAGAAAAGAATGAATATAAAAACGAAGGCAAGAAAGTGAGAAACATACCTGATTTTCTGATTTTCTTTCGTGAACAAGAAAGAACAACAAAAGATTAAAGACAAAAGTGCAGAACAACAGGTATGTTGCATTTGCAGGTGGACTCGTGGAGCCCAGAGGGTGGACCTGCAGTGGCGGTGCTGTGGTGGACGGTGGTGACTATGGCGTGAGGTGTCCGTCATCCGACTAGCAGTGAGTAGTAAAAAACGAAGATGGGGATTGGGTTCGATTCCATTCACCGTTCACGTCTTCATGAATACGACAACTTCTAAAACTCATGGATCAGACAATTCACAATCGGACAGGAGGGGCCACAGGCCAATTTTCACATTTCTGGGCCTATATCCCGAAAAAATTAACTTATTTGGACTACTTCTAACCCAAAATTCAAGAGGGGGGGGGGGGGGAGACCCCTCCTGGCCCTATACAAGATGCGTCCTGTATGTGAATGAGAGGGTAAGTACAGTAGCACCCTTAATAAATTGTCACAATATTATTCTAAATTTTATACAACTCTATCATTTTTTCCTTACAATACACTTAACTATACAAAAGTTCACTTAAACATTTATTTTAAACATAAAAAATATATATTTTTCCCACACTCTATATTCGTTGAAAGGTCATTACGACATCTAATTATGGTTGAGTTTAATCTATTCAATGAAAACTAGACGTTCTAAACAACTATTTCATTAAGCCACACATCATTGATGTTTTAAGCTTCTTTATATTTTAACAATATTATGCCAAAAATAAATTTTGACATCATCTAACATTTATAAAAATACCAAAAACTTCTATTTAAGCTATGTTTGACACGTCACAACTAACTAATATACTAGCTTATTTTTTAAACTTTTTTATATTTCTATGTTTGGTAACAAAAATGTAGTTTATAAGCTAGTTTTTCAAAAAGTTACTCAAATTACCGTTTCAATGAGCTTATTGAGCTTTTTAATTTTCTCTCAAATATATCATTTATTAATTAAAAAAAACTCAATCTTCTACATGTCCTTTTATATTATTTTATGTATTTTTGCCAAGTTATCAACAACAAATAGATTTTCATCTATCAACTATACATAACCTGAATGTTGGTGATTTTATATCATTAGTATTATTTAAGTGTAATGGGGTTAATTCGTTGATTAATGTCACTATGACAATTACTAAATAAAATAGTATGGTGTTGAGTGCACAGTTGTTTAATTTGTCTTTGTTGAAACTATACTCCTATTTAGGGGTGAAGCTCCTGACTTGACGGGGGAGGGGAGCAGCGCCCCTGGGAACGGAGTCCAAGGGGAGGTAGCCCCTGGCAGGGTCCAAGAGGCAGAGCCCCTGGTTAGGACATAAAACTGTCATTTGACAGTTTTAAGACATGAATTGTTTCCTATTATATGATCAATTCAAAATCATTTTTGGGGTACAGATTTTCATAACATCTTCTTCATTCTCCCTTCTAGAAAATAGTGAGTTTATCCGATTAAAGATTTTTAAGCGTACCCTCGAAATGCTTTAATCTGAAAGTGTTTCACAACTCTCATTGATCCAAAC